AAGTGGTCTTAATGGGTTAAAAGGTGTGACAAGTGGTTATAGGGGCTATAATGTGTAACAAGTGGTTATAAAGGGTTATAAGGTGTTATTAGTGGTTATAAGGGGTTATAAGGTGTAAAAAGTGGCTATAGAGAGTTAATAAGTGGTTATAAGAGGTTATAAGGTGTTATAAGGGGTTATGTGGTTTAAGGGTTATAATGTGTAATAAGTGTATATAACGGTTAAAAGGTGTAATAAGTGGTTAAAGGGGGTTATAATGTGTAATAAGTGGTTATAAAGGGTTATAAGGTGTTATACGTGGTTATAAGGGATTATAAGGTGTAAGAAGTGGTTATAGGGGGTTATAATGTGTAATAAATGGTTAAAAAGGGTTATAAGGTTTTATACGTGGTTATAAGGGATTATAAGGTGTAATAAGTGGTTATAGGGGGTTATAATGTGTAATAAGTGGTTATAAAGGGTTATAAGGTGTTATACGTGGTTATAAGGGATTATAAGGTGTAATAAGTGGTTATAGGGGGTTATAATGTGTAATAAGTGGTTATAAGGGGTTATAAAGTGTTATAAGGGGTTATAAGGTGTTAAAAGTAGTTATAAGGGGTTATAATGTGTTATAAGGGGTTATAACGTGTTATAAGGGGTTATAAGGTGTTAAAAGTGGTTATATGAGGTTATAAGGTGTTATAAGTGATTAAAAGGGTTATAATCTGTTATAAGGGGTTGGTAAGGGGTTCTGATGTGTAATTTGTTTTGTTGCTAGGCAGATTAGGGGTAAATCCCATGTTGTTGCTAGGCAGTTGCTGCTGTGTTAAAGTTCATTCGGTAGATTTAAAGCAGACTGGTGTGTGTGTGTGTGTGTGTGTGTGTGTGTGTTGATTGATTAAAGGTAAAAACATTCAGTAAATCAATGTGTCATTCTAAACTCAATCCAGTAAATGAATCTCTGACTCAGCAGAACAAACCAGCAAGAGATTTACAGTGAGCTCTCTCTGAGTGCGTGCGTGTGTGCGTGTGTTCTGTCAGAAGCTTAAAACACTGGGCACTTTATTAATTAAATAATCAAAGAGCCAAACAAATAAAAACACATTTTATGACTCTGTGTTTCAGATTCACACACACACACACACACACACACACACAGTTGAGTGCTGGGGTCTGTTTTTCGTACCTCACTTAAATGATCCATGATGATTTGGCAGATCCTGGATCTGTTAATCTTGATAACTGATCTCTGGCTAATTTGGTTCTTCAAACAAGTTTGCGAATCAGACTAAAATGTCTAGATGAAGTGATCTGAGATCGCCGAATGTGTTGTGAGGGACAGATCCAGATCCTTAATCCTCAAAATCATGATCAGCAACGCAATGATTTGCCAACGGCAGAGCAGCGGTGTGTATATATATATATATACAGTTGAAGTCTGAATAATTATTCCCCTTTGACTTTAATTTTCTTGTTTAATTATTTCCCAAACGATGTTGAACAGATTGAGGAAATGTTCACAGTGTGTCT